TGCCCGTGCCAGTAGGTCACCGCGTTGCTGTCGGGCAAGCGCGCGAGCGAGCTGCTGAGCCACCAACGATCTCACGCGCAGGGGCCGGGGGGGCTACTGTCGCACAGATGGTGGTCGGCCTCGCCCCCGGTTGGCCATGGCAATGGCGAGCGCGTGCGCCTGGAGTTCCGCTCCGCCATGGCCGCGCGAAGGTGAGCATGGCCTACATGAGCATGCCTCGGAGCGCGCCGACGCTGGCCCCAGCACGGGTACGGGCATGCCGCCGGCGCCGGTGAGGAGGCAGGCGAGCAGCTGGCCTGAATGTGCAGCCCCTTGAGCCCGGCCTCCCGCACCGACGCCATGGCCGACAGGAGCTCCGGCCAGGCCTCTCCCAGACGTCGGCAGACATGGCCCGCGGCCGCTCGCGCCTCGCCACCGGCGCCCCCGCTCCCGCTCGCGCGCTCGAACGCCCGCTTCAGCAGCTCGCCCTCACGCTCGCGAGCCCGGCCGCGTGCTCCGTGCGCCGCGTCCTCCGCACGCCGCGAGCTCCGCTCACCCGCGTGCTGCTGCTGCTGCCCGGCCACATACTGCTGCTGCTTCTCGCCATCACCATTGATGCACTCAGCAAGGGAAGATGAGGAGGGAAGGCAGAAGAAGATGACATGTGGGGCCCATGTGTCAGTGACAGGAAGAGAAGCTGCGATGAAGTATACGTCTTCGTATACACCTGCAGCTGGGCCCAGGCCGTATCCATACGTATTATGTGGCATATTTGTGGGAAACGAAGAATTGTAATGACATGCTTCAAAATAGACGAATAGTAATGGCGTTTCTCCAAACATCGAAAATTATAATGACATGAATCCAAATAACCCTAAAAAAAGGGGGGATCCCGTCGACTCGTCGAGGCGTGCTTCCGGTCCGCTGCCCCCCGCTCCCTCATCCCCTATGGCGTCGGCGGCGATGCTCCGGTCCGCTGCCCACTCGCTCCGGCTCCGACAGTCCCTGGAGCCGGAGTGGTGCCTTCTGGCAAGGCAATTCCTCAGCAGCAGCTCCGTACCCACCGAGGTAATGAATCTCCTGCTTCCTCTTCCCTTGACTGGTTAGGGTTTGTCGAGTTAGGCGGTCTCACCTGAACGGAACGCCATGGGTTGTTGGATTGGGGCCCAGGGATTACGGATCTGTGGAATTGATGGGGGCATGCTAATTTTGTTGGACCCAATCACCTCAATTGTCCACCTGCTGTCTTAGATTTAAGAAAAGTTGGTTCTTTTGAGGGTTTGCTAGAATTCGATTTGACTGATTGTCAAAGTTCTTTGGTCGAATTTAACTGCACCTCAGATTGTTTCTCTTTGGCTGCAGCCCCGGTGTGTTACTTCTAGGGTTAGGATTGGGTTTGCCGACAGTGGGTTTGCTGGTTAATTTGTATGGCTAGGGCTGTTGTCTAACCGTTCATACCATTCACAATATGTCATGCATGCATAATGGCAAAACTAAACCGTAAAATAAATAATTTAGATGATATCTCAATTTTTATGCTTATAATTTTAAATTTTTAATTTTTAATGACGAACTCATGCTTAATTATTGTACACAAAATATCATGGTGAAATTACCAGTAGGTAATAACAAACTGTTTTAGTTTCACCTATGATAGTTTTTTTATGAACAACAAGGTGAACTTGAACCTACCAATACAAGATAGACTTTTTAAAAAAAAAAAGGGATGCAGTCTGCAAAATATATTTTTTCGGTCAATGTCTGCAAATATAATTATGCAAATAAAATCTTCTTTTTGTAGTTCTAGTACAAATCTTGAGTCTAAATGATGCAGTGCAAATACAGTTATGTAACTTGATCAAATTCGTGCAAATGATTCAAAGTTGAATTGAAATATATAGAGGCCTGCGAGTGAATGGAACATTCACTAGGCCTACTGGGTGTTGGCTGCTGCTCCGTGTGGTTCGTGTTGCACGCGTACCGCAGCCACACGGCTGGACTGAGTTTCTGACGGCATATGCCTCTGCCAAAAGTGACACACTGGCTGGTCGCACGCCAGCAGCGCAGCCACACACCGAGGGGCACAACGCACGCACGCAGAGAGGGATCGGGTAGGCAAGGGGCAGCTCTGCGAGAGTTCGAGACTGACCATTGAAAGGTGAGCGATGACCAGAGACTGGAGAGACACAGACGGACAGGCCTAGCGCATCCAGGGACAGGAAGTACTGGGTCTCCACCTGTATCACGACTCGTCGCCTCGGCCTGCTATGCGAATTGCTAGGGCGAGTCCATCTATAGCAGAAAAGATTGGCCGCTGCAGTTTGATTTTACAGGATATCTTGTCTTCCTGTGACCAATTGCGAACTAAAAAATATACTGTGAAACTCTTGTCTTGTTTAAATAACTGATGGATGGTGACATCGATGTATACATGATTATAAAGCTTAAACATTCAGAATATTCGCCTTGATGAATTGCAAACTAAAGAAAGATTTTGTGAAGCTCTGGTTTTGCTTAAACGATAGAGGGATGCATCGGCATAGGTGAAGAAATTATTATAAGGCCTTGAATGTTCACAAATGGTTAACCGGAATGTGCAAGTGCTTAGATGGGTGTGCAGGGATGAACGTTACTGGTGCTCCTATATATGAAACTTAATCAGACTTTTGTATTCTGAAACCGGGGGCAGAGAGAGAGGGAGACTTAATATGCATTGCAAAATGTGGTTATTCATGCACACAAATTTTTTGTAACAAATCCATTCATCATGCTCCTGCACAGACACAAGTGTTCCCCCTCCTCGAATAAGCCTTTGAAAGGCACCGTGGAACAGAAAAGTCACGTTTATGAGAAGCCGGAAAACATTTATCCGGAAAACATTTATAAACGACTATTGATGAAGGTCGATAAGATTTCTGAAGGCTTGGATGAACACTCTCGTTTACTTAAGGAGCTTGAGGCTGATATAAAAGAAAATAACAAGTAAGCAACCCACTTTTGTTGTCAACATATTCATGCAAACCTTTTTTATGTGGTTATTACTCTAACTGTTATTCATTTGACCTGCAGGCATGGTGGAGCCATAGACCTGACGCCATGGGTCGTGTCGATATCTTCTTGTTTACTTTTCTTTGGCCTGTATAAATATGTTTAGTAGGGCTGATTGACTCGGGAGGGGGAAATGTAGGTGCAAAACTCTCATTTAGTGAGAACTAGTGAATTCTCTGTTTCTTGTAAGAAACAGAGTGATGTACTGCCTCAGATGTTCTATGATATAGAATCATGTCTATTTATGCTTGAACTCACTAATTCTGTTGGATGCTTGCCGTTTTGCATGGATCTGACTGGTGAATGTTATCAGGATTTGATCAAAAGTGTTGTTTTCTTGGAGAATTTGAAAGTTTAGTGGCTGTGAACATACACCTGTACTCAGGGTGGGCTTATGGGTCGCAGGCCTATGTAAATAGGTCGCAGGCCTCTTTGTGACCCCCTGGACTCCTGGTACGAATTTAGTGACAGCTACACGTGTTTCTTTCCCAGAACTTACTCGATGAATTTGCAGCGGTTTCTTATTTTTCTAATAAAGAATATCTGGGCCAGCAAGTAGAAAACCTGCAAGACAAAGAGAAGTGATTCTATACTGAACTGTATGCCCTGGCTGCTACGAAGTGTACACTGTTAGTGCCTAGTAACCAGGTTATAAGGGCAGTCCCAATGTTACTGCACGTAGTTTCTATATCTATTAATCTCTGTAGACACTATATATACAAACTATAGTCCCAATGGATAGTTTTTACAGAACAATTATTTATCCAATCACGTACATTCTTTCTTCATTCTCTACCACTCACATCCCTTCGTGTCTTGGTTCTCGTGTAGACATGGTTTTTAACTTAGACCCGGTTTCTATAATTTTTGCTCTCCCTCTTCAATAGCTATCTTGTCACATCAGCAAAACGCTTAGGTGGCAGTACAGTTAATGTCCATAGAAACTGGGATTACATTTGTTTATTGTGGTGACTATTCTACATTTTCCACAATAAAGGAGACACATGAGTGATATACTCTTCTTCAGAAATGAAAGGTTTTCTCAACACATCAGAGTTCTAACTTTCAAAAGAAGGGACCGTTAATTTTTTTAATGTTTTGTTCTGATGCAACGCAATGGAGCAAAAGTAACAGCACATGTGTTATTTTCAGAAATGTGCATCCCTTGAAAAAGAAAAGTTAAATCAAAACGCTGGGGAATAAATACTTCTACACATGAGATTGAGGTCAGATTAGTGTCAAAAGCAACTGCAGAGTCACAGAGCAAAGAAAATCGGAAATAAAAAACAAAAGGAAAAGAAAAGAAAAGACTCCTGATACATAAGTGATAAAGAAGTTATGTACAAATTCCCTAGAAAAAGAAAGATAATTGAAGCTCATAAGTCTGCTTAGAATAATAAACATGTAGATATTTGTGATATCATTCAAAAACTAATCAACAACTGAAAATGTAGCCAGAGCATCCTATTTCAGTCGTTTGTGTCCATACCAAACTAATCAACAAATCAAACATTCAGAACTACTCTAGGTATCAGCATACTGTCTTACTGCATGTATCATGCAATTCAATATTTAGATCCATTGGTGCTATCTGTGAACAAAATGTCCATACAACACAAAGTTCAAATTTATCTGTAACTTGGCATCCTAGGTCCTGTCATTCATAAAATTTTCTAACAAACTTAGAGCATACTTTCTTTCACACAAATGAATGTGATGGTAAATAATGTTAGAAATATAGATGTACAGGGAGCATTGCCAGTTAGCATACATATGTTATATGTAGGCAGGAACTTAAAAACTTTGAGAACGCTATCATCAACTACTTCACACTTGAGCTCCACTTTCCTAAGGTATTCTGAAATTGCAGCTGATCTCTTTCTTGCTATCATCAACTACGTTTATTGTTGCGGACGAACGGACGGGTCCGTCGGAGGAAAATAATCACGAACGACGACTGATGGAGGATCATTTCAGGCGGTGATGGCCGCTCCGGTGGTGATGGGGACGCTGTGGAGCACCACGGTCTCGACGGTGAGCCCGGGGCCGAAGCCGAAGAGGACGCCCCAGTCGAACCCCTCCCCCGTGGTGGCCTGCCCATCCTCGGCGGAGCGCTTGCGCATCTCGTCGAGGATGAAGAGCACGCAGGCGCTGGACATGTTGCCGTACTCGGAGAGGACGTGGCGCGTCGCGCGCATCCGCTCCTTGTCCAGGCCGACCTTGGCCTCCACCTGGTCCAGGATGGCGGGGCCACCCGGGTGCGCCACCCAGAAGATGGAGTTCCAGTCGCTGATCCCCAGCGGCTTGAACGCCTCCTCCAGCGCGCGCTCGATGTTCTTGGAGATGAGCCCCGGAACGTCCTTGAGCAGGTGGAACGTGAGCCCGACCTCGCGGAGGTGGCCGTCGATGGCGCCCTCGGAGTCCGGCAGGATGGTCTGCGCCGCCGACACGAGCTCGAACAGCGGGCGCTCCACGCGCTCGTCGGGGTCGGCGCCCACGATGACCGCCGCTGCGCCGTCGCCGAACAGCGCCTGCCCGACCATGGAGTCGAGGTGGGACTCGGAGGGGCCCCGGAACGTGACGGCCGTGATCTCGGAGCACACCACCAGAACCCGCGCGCCGCGGTTGTTCTCCGCGAGGTCCTTGGCCACGCGCAGCACCGTGCCGCCCGCGAAGCACCCTGCTGGTACATCATCAGGCGGTTCACCGAGGGCCGCAGGCCCAGCATCTTGGTCAGCTGGTAGTCGGCGCCCGGCATGTCGACCCCGGACGTGGTGCAGAAGACCAGGTGCGTGATCTTGGATTTCGGCTGCCCCCACTCCTTGATCGCCTTCTGCGCCGCGGCCTTCCCCAGCTTGGGGACCTCCACTACCACGATGTCCTGGCGCGCGTCCAGCGACGGCGCCATGTACGCGCACATGTTGGGGTTCTCCGCCAGGTACTCCTCCGTCAGGTGCATGTACCGCTTCCGGATCTGCGACTTGTCGCCTGCACCAGGGCAGTCATGTCATGTGCATGTCAGAGTCAGAATCAAACCACCGTCGTCGTCAGTGGTGAAGGCATGCCACGCCATGCCATGCCAGAGCACGGACGTCAAGCTAGTTGCTAGCAGGCTGCTAACTGCTGGCTCGTCGTCGTCGTCCATGCAACGACAGGTCAATCGAAAAAAGAGAGAAGGGTCGGTCGAGCCGTGGTTATATATGTACGGTGCATGCGAAGACTGTGCCGAACTAACAAGAGAATTCTGCAGTACTAGTGCTTAACACAGGAGTCCTAATTAGAATACATATATAGTCATGAGTGTCTGCTTGTGTCACACAGCAGGAAAACTTTTGGAATCAGTAAAAAACGAAGAGACCACCGTAGTCTTCTACTCTTGAGTGGTAAAAATATTCAGAGTAATTAACTTGGTCGTCAGTGGTGTAAACTGTGTGAGTGGCGCGAGCACGGTGAAACACCTGGAAGCTGCTACTAGCTAAGCTAAGGCCTAGTCGACCGACCCACGAGAAGAAAAAAAAAGCAGGAGACGACGATGTGAGTGATCAAGCTTATTGACTGCTGTGTAGAGCTGAGCGAGCGATGGAGACGACGACGACAGATAGAGACAGAGAGACTGAGAGAGAGATACTCACACATCCTCTTGAACTTCTCCTTGAGGTCGGTCATGTGCTCGCTCTTGGTGATCCGGAAGTAGTAGTCCGGGTAGTCCGCCTGGTACACGCAGTTGGCGGGCGTCGCCGTCCCGATCGCCAGCACGGTGGCCGGACCAGTCGCGCGCTGGGCCTTCCTCACCTCCTCCACGGTCACAGTCGCGCGGGCCATCGTCTCCGTCCGCTCTTTCTCTCTACGTTGTACCCGAGACTGCAGCAGGTCGATCGATCGGCCGCTAGCTACTCCGACAGCAGCAGCACTTCGACAGGTCGGTCGCCGGCCGGCTTTCCGGATCGTCGGAGCGAGAGCTAGCTGCGACTGCAATCGAGCGCTGTGGATGGATGATCGGAGGCAGGAGGGCTAGCTGCGCTTGCTGTAATGGCAGAGGAGGCCCGCGGGGTGGTTATATAGCCGCGTGGGCCGGGGGCAGGCGACGACGGGGAGGTGGCGCCCGCTACACTGTGCCGCTATGCCGTGTTGGAGTGACTTCAACGGCCAGTCAGGTCACTACCGGTTTCCATCTATCGTCAGCCGCCGGTCAACCACGTGATCACGTGGGAATATTCAAAGTCCAACCAAAGGGATGGTTTATGGTTTTTCTTCTTTTCCCCACCCTATTTTATTGCCTATTTTCATTTTTATTATTTTCTTTGCGTCGAAGTGTGGCGTACGGTATACTTGGCCAAATGGGCCGCCCAGGCACGGCACGGCACTAGCATGCCGAGGCACGGCACGCCGAGGCACGACGCTATCAGCCACGACGACATTGTCGTGCCGTGCCGTACCGTGTCACCGTGCCCGGGTCGTGGCCCAGGCAAGGCACTACAGGCCACTAGTCGCTGGCACGCGGGCCGCCGGGCTCCATTGCTGTCGCTGACGCGCGCCTAGCCGCATGCCGCCGCCGCGGCAGCATCGCCACCGCCTTGCACCGCCGCAAGGACATGCTCCACCTGTTGCGCGGACGCACCTACGCCGCCGGGGGGACGCGTCGACGCGCCGCTGCCAAGGGGACGCGACCCCGGCCTCACCTTGCCGCCGCCGCGAAGACGCACATCTGGCCGCGCGTGCCGCCGCAACCCAAGCCACACGCCTCCGACTCCTCTGTTCGTGTGGTGCTGAGAGTGAGTAAATGACGGCCGAGAGGGATACAGGGAGGAGTATGAGAGAGTGTGAGGTGGGAGTTTGTTTATATACCTAGGTTTTCTACATCCAAAAGTGACAAATGCCCTAAATGAATCCAACGGCTAAGAATAATCGGACTGCATCATGCTGGCCCAATTTCTGTTCTATGCCCGTGCCGGCACTGTGGCCCGGACCTGCGGCCTAGGCACGGACCCTAGATTGTGCCCGTGCCGGCACTAGTACTATAGCTTCGTGCCCGAGCCGTTCTAGTGTCGTGCTTTTTCAGGCCGGGCCCGTGCTGGCCCATCATACTTGGCCCATTTGGCCATCTATAGCGCACGGCTCCTTAATTTAGTTTATCTCGTCAAATTTCGTGGTACTAACCGGCTGCTTCATTTAAACCGGCTTCTTTGAAATGGTGGATTGTGTAGGATGGGCCAAACCTAGAGATATGAGAATTTTCCTTTCAACAAGACCTCAAGTCCTCTCGTACTATCATATTTAGTACTACATACTCCCCGCGTTCCAAATTGTAGGTCGATTTGACTTTTCTAGATTCATAGCTATTGCTACATACCTTGATATATGAAATAAAAGCTATGTATCTTAAAAAGCCACAACAACTTATAATTTGAAATGAAGAGACTATTTGCCAAGTCACAGAGACAAATCAGGATACGCTGCTCCAAGTGGTGAACATACCTTCAGTTGCAATAGCAAGTAATATATAGGATCATATATACTTTCGCCCTATATGTTTTACCTTGCAAATTATAGATTTCATCCCGTAGATTATTTGTTAGCGGTTGGGATAGATTGTTGGGCTGTCATGAATTGTTACAATTTAGTTATTATTGTAGGCTTTGTACCCTGGGACCTGTTTATTTTAACTTGTAGATTGTAACACCTGCAAGTTTAAATGTAGTAGTTTTCACTAGTACAGAAATGATCTCATTTGGAGGCGAGAAATAGCAAAAATAGAGGGGGTTGCCCTTTGAACCTTTGAAGGAGTTGGGTTTGAGAGGTGAAATTGTGGCATCCCTAAGCTCTTTTCAAACTTTACAGATACATTTATTTCACTAATTTCTTTCACTTAGAGATCTAGAGAGAGACATGCATGATGTTTGATTTTTTTTTATTTTTCCTAGAAATTTAGACTCATTTTTCCCAACTTACTTGGCTCACATGAACTCTATATTTAATTTTTATATTCACTTTTTCATTTTGGTACATAGCTTTTTTATATCATTTTTTAAGCTTAAGGTCTACAATAATATAATATTTGTTCAAAAAATAGACATCAATTACTTCAACATTTACATGCGAATAATATCTTGATGCAAATACACCTTTTCTTTTCAAAGGGCACATATTGACAGGTCAGGGATGTACACAAAACGAAGACATGAAGCTTCCTACATATAAAATGTGAATGATTTTATTGAAGCTGCTAAAAGACACGCTTTGATTAAGCACACAAAGGATATATATTGTCCATGTTGTGACTGTCGGAACCGTATAATATGCCGGGATCCAAATACGATAAAATCACACTTGGTAAAGTTTGTATCACAATTACAATGCTGACAAAGACTCGTCTAGAAATCATTTATGTCCTTATATTTTTGGACGAAGGAAGTACAGATTTTGAACTCTGTACCCCCTTATACTTTACTTTAGGACCGAAAGAGTAACATTAGTTACTTGCTGTGGCCACGGGTACGCGCGTGCTTTGTACTGTCCATCATCGTTGCAGTAAATAAACATTAGTAATAGTAAAAAGTTTACTTAAAAGGAAAGATCGGCAAGAGAGACGAAGGCAGGCAGGCAATGAGCGAGTCATCATCCTTTGGTTGCCGTCCGTGGAACGCCAGCATCATTTCAATGGAAATCATTCAGCTTTTGTATGCGCAGGAATCGATCGAACTTGAGAAGAATGCTCAGCTCGCTCGTGTGCCTCACTCAACTTGGAGGATGCACCATTATATTAACGCCTCAAAGGCAACTAATTGTCGCAAAAGCAAACCATGTGTTCGGAAATTGCGAAGGCATCAATCAATTCAAAAGATACACATACCGGCCGAGAAAGTTGTCAAGAAGCAAGCAGACCATGCATGCATGTGTTTGGGGCTTTGGGCTGGCTAACTAATTAAACGTGGACATCGTCAACCCAAACTTAACAAAGTAACAAATTGCTAGCCAACGAACGCCCACGTTTTCTTTTTTCCACGTACGGCGACTCGGCGAGTACGGGCATCCGTCAAAAACCAGCCCTTTAGCTTTAGTCAAAATTTTTAGAGCCAATTTTTAGTTGATACTTCCTCTATACCAAATTATAAGTCACATTTCAATTCTCTTGGAAAGTCAAAGCATTTCAAGTTCTCAAGTCCTAGAATAAGTTTATCCTTTCATTTTCAATTTTATCGTCCCTTACCTATTATCCAACTCTTCCTGAATTTTTAAAATGGATGTTTCGGTCATCAAACTTTACTTTTTTGGCTCAATTTAACTCAGGAATATTAAAATCTCTTAAACTTTACTTTTTAGGTAATCAAACAACAGATACTCTCTAGTACTGTTAAACGACTGACGCGAGGTGTCTGATTTTTTGAGAATTTTCAGGCAACAACTCACAAAGGACAACTAGCACAATCAAAATGACAACTTACAAGAGACAAAGAACATTCTTTTCTATAGCCAAACAATGTCAAAATTTTATGTTGCCTTACCAACTACAACAAAAAAAATCAGGCATCTAAAATAAAGGAGAAGTGGTTAATTATATATATATATATATATATCCAATCCACCAGCTGCACCGTGCAACATGCATTATCGCATCCTGTGATAAAAAAAAATATGAGATCCAACATAGGAGGAACTAGGTGGTTTTTTATTAAGAAGAGAACTATAGTTACCTAAATTCAGTTGAGCTAAGCTCACTTCCTATCGCATCCTGTGATCCGTCGAGATGCACGAGCCAAGTCAAGTCATCTGCTTTATCGGCGTCCGTGGGTGGAATGGCCTGCTGACCCGTCAGGCCGGCATGCACTCAAGCCTCGTTTCGTTGAAATTTGGTTTATGCTGATTTGTTGTGAGAGGAAAATACTTTTCATTCGTTAAAAAGTACTTCTGAAATAGTGCTGACGAAAAGAGCCCAAGCATGTCGGCCGGCCGGTCGACTCGGTCACCGCTAGCCCATGCTCGACGGACCAGATAGGCCGCTAATTTTGTTCGGCTTTTCTAGCTAGAGCACGCACTACTGCTCTAGCCAACTTTTTATATATATAATGTATATATATAACTATATATATATATAATTGTTACTCTTGTCGCATTCATGCACATGCGCCACCGTCGTGGCTCCATCCGTCAAGCATGCATTTTCCCCCAGGGTTTCAACGGGAAGGAAACCATCCAACTTTGGCCTGCAGGAACTTTGAAAAGGATGTTTCTTGTGTTGTGTCTTGACTTGCATTTGGATGCGTGCAACATAACAAAGAAATAGTGGTCGCAAAAGCCAACCACATGGGTTGGAAAAAATTGCATACCTTGGCATGGCCGAGAATGAAATCGCCGCAGCCAGGAAGCGTACCATACCATGTGTTTTGGGCTGACTCTGGTCATAGCTAGGTGAGCCGAACGTGGACGTCAACCCAAGGCCCAAGCTTACGATGGTCCAAACGCACATGGCCAAAGAACGCCCACGTTTTTTTTTTTCTTTTTGACTCGGTGAGTGCGGTCATCAGTACATCGCCGATGAAACCAGATTTTTGTCTTCTCCTGTTCAGTAGCAAGAAGCCAAGCAAAAACATGCCAAATAAACCATAAATAAATACTCCCTCCGTCCCAAAAAGAACGCAACTATAGGATTCGTGTCGGTCAAGTTTGCGAAAGTTTGATCAAGTTTATAGTGATTAGTATTAACAGTTATTTCTCAAACAAGATTTGTTACGAAAATATATTTCATCATTAATCTACTGATACTTATTTTGTATTATAAATGTTAGTACTTTTTTATATAATTTTGGTCAAAATTAAAATTAATT